CTACAACGTAAATACGCCACCCACCTTGAGTTCTAAGGTCTTAGTATATGTAGTCCCAACGGCTTACAATGCTGTAGGTTGATGTTTCGACTTAATAGCTCTCTGCCGGACTGTCCTGCGCCAACCGTGCCTATCCTCGATTGCGCTGACGGCACCGTGATTATAGCAGTACCTATCATACTAGCAAAAATGTTTGACCGATGACTGAATCGCGTTAGCAACATTTTCAAGAACAATTTGCACATTTATAAATTTAAAAACAGTTGGCTAGGTCTTTATCCATACCCACAATTTTATTACATTACACATATTTTTTTAACGGAGTTTACACATCAAAAAATAATTTTATGCTTAATTTATTCTGGCAAAGATTTAATAAGGTCGACAACGCATATTGTGCGACAGTAATTTTTGCTTCAGGGAAATCGGTTAGCCTTTAACTTGGGTTCGGCATAAAAAGAATTCGTCATTATTTAAACAGATACGTCTCGGTCTGATTTTATGGGCGGCGAACGTCTGACCTCCGCAAAACGGGGGCACCGGATTCCGTCAGAGCTTTTTTATGCTTAAAAAAAAAACATTTCGTGTGGCTCTTTTTTTAAATCTTTAACCGGATAAATAAGCTCATAGATTATCTTGTATGATGCTATTACCGAAATCCATTGATATCACAGCGTTAATAACCAGCCATCCTGAAAAATGAGGTCGAAATTTCCATTCCACGCATCTTTGCTGCCGCACAAAACTATGCTCGGACGTCTTCCGCGATCGCCGGCGCTGGTGCTCATTCTCTGGTGAATTGCAATTTGTTCTTGTAAAACTCACAGTCACTACATAGTATAAAATAAAGTCGCTTTCTCGGTCCCTATATCCCTATGTATGCTTAAATCTTTAAAACTACGCAACGGATTTTGATACGGTTTTTTTANTTTATAAATTTAAAAACAGTTGGCTAGGTCTTTATCCATACCCACAATTTTATTACATTACACATATTTTTTTAACGGAGTTTACACATCAAAAAATAATTTTATGCTTAATTTATTCTGGCAAAGATTTAATAAGGTCGACAACGCATATTGTGCGACAGTAATTTTTGCTTCAGGGAAATCGGTTAGCCTTTAACTTGGGTTCGGCATAAAAAGAATTCGTCATTATTTAAACAGATACGTCTCGGTCTGATTTTATGGGCGGCGAACGTCTGACCTCCGCAAAACGGGGGCACCGGATTCCGTCAGAGCTTTTTTATGCTTAAAAAAAAAACATTTCGTGTGGCTCTTTTTTTAAATCTTTAACCGGATAAATAAGCTCATAGATTATCTTGTATGATGCTATTACCGAAATCCATTGATATCACAGCGTTAATAACCAGCCATCCTGAAAAATGAGGTCGAAATTTCCATTCCACGCATCTTTGCTGCCGCACAAAACTATGCTCGGACGTCTTCCGCGATCGCCGGCGCTGGTGCTCATTCTCTGGTGAATTGCAATTTGTTCTTGTAAAACTCACAGTCACTACATAGTATAAAATAAAGTCGCTTTCTCGGTCCCTATATCCCTATGTATGCTTAAATCTTTAAAACTACGCAACGGATTTTGATACGGTTTTTTTAATAGATAAAATGATTGAAGAGGAAGGTTTATATGTATAATAACATCCATTAAATAGTGGAGAAATCAATAATAAATTACACGTTCCGAAGCGAAGCGAGGGCGGGTCGCTAGTAAGTCAAGACTATTTGATGCTAATCAGAGACTGGAGCTTATGGGCATCAAAACGGGAGTGGAGCCGCCCGGAGCTACTTCTTGTAATGCACAAAACTACCCACAGTCACAACAAGGTCATCGCTAGTAAAGTTCGACCTAGAAATGCACTACCCGTCTTTCATTCAGTGTCAAAGATATCACTAAGAGAATCATCGAAGAGCGGCTAGCCGCTGGCATATGCAATACGCTGGCTGGCACTGGTGGTAGGGCATAATGTAAGCTAGCGAATGATCCAACACCGCGTCTATATCTGCCGCGAAACAATCGCTCCAGCTTAAAGGGAACTAACAGCTCTACAATGCAGTACAAAATACAAAAAACTTTAATATGTGTAACTACTTTAAATTTCTCTCTCTCTCTCTCATTGTCAAACATTGTCACTTTATAACTGTGATTATACTACAGTACAGTACATAAGTTAAAGGTCATGGTTATAGTTAGTGACAATAAATCGAAACGTATTGACGACACTAATATTTGTATTCTGTTTATCCATAAGCAAATGTACGGAAATTGTTTCAAGAAATCTATAAACGGATTATGCCATACTCAATCTTCTGTCTTTTTTTGATTTAATAAATTTATAATGAGCACGAGTGAGACGGCTATTTAAATTTAGTACCAGTGTAGACTAAAAACGACGAATAAAAGCTATAACTTTGTTTTTTGTCCTACTTGCACGGAATGTGTTACGAGCAGGACGGTATAAAACACTAAGCATTTTCGTAGCTAGCGCCTACGCGGCTACGAAGCGCTACGAAAGACTTCTACAACGCGTGGATAAAAAAAACTAGAACCTTTGTACTAGTCAATTTAGAAATACAATTGTACTTAGACGAAAATTTATTAATTAGCTATAAAAATCATACTTCCAAGTCTGATGGGCCACAGCGTTTCCACTTTCTTACGCTGATTATGCAAATCATTTAAAATTTAGTTACATTTATACATTTACGATTACTGGTGGTAGGACCTCTTGTAAATCCGCACGGGTAAGTACCACCACCCCGCCTATTTTTCCCGTGAAACAGTAATGCGTTTCGGTTTGAAGGGTGGGGCAGCCGTTGTAACTATACTGAGACCTTAGAACTCATATCTCAAGGCGGCTGGCGGCATTTACGTTGTAAATGTCTATGGGCTCTAGTAACTACTTAACACCAGGTGGGCTGTGAGATCGTTCACCCATCTAGGCAATAAAAAAAATGTAGTTACAATGAAGAGTAGGTAGCGTTTTTCGGCGCGCACTATGCAGTACTGAGGGTTTCTCGGAGTCGAAGTGGTAGAACTCGATGTGGTTTAGTCGGTAGTAGGTTTTGCGGGGCGGGTCTTGCGTGTCTGATACCGCGCAGCGCCCCGCGTGCCTTTCTCAAGGCGTAGTCTCCTGGCACGAATTGGAACAACTGAAGGACCTCAGACTTCCTCTTCTTCCCTGGAGGCACCGAGTCCGACATAACTCGGTCTGTTACCCCTCGACAGGGAATCCGTAAACAGATTCGCCAACCTTAAAATAAAGTAGCGTAAAACTTTATATAGTTACCTTTTATATAAAGCGGACAATTGTAATGTAAATGCTTCATTCTGAGACTATTACATTAAACTTATTGTTCTAAAATTATAAAATAGGTATGCAGACTAGAGTGGTTGGTCAGAGTAAAAAATCAAAACAACCACAGCTGGGTTAGACTGTTTAACGCCATTCCCATTTGATACTAAGCAGTTAGCCCACTGAGTTTCTCGCAGGATCTTCTCAGTGGGTCGCGTTTCCGATTCGGTGGTAGATTCTGTGAAGCACGGCTCTTGCTAGGGTTCGTGTTAGCAGCATCGTCAGGTTTAAGTCCCGTGAGCTCACCTACTAGTTAAGGTTACGCTGTTATGGTCTCTCTAGACCATCAGCTTAGGTAGGAAAAAAAAGTAAGCAGTAATCGTCACTAAGCCATACCAGAATGTGGCGTAGCTCATTTTGATACAAGCTAGCGTTTTACGGCTTTGACTAATGCAGACTGGCCTTGTATCTCAAGGATGGTGGTAGCTATTCAAAATTCAATGTCTGCCATGCGCTTTTGTAACTTTGTAGGGTAGCTTTTATAAAAAGATAAGTATAATAAAAGATAATAGATATTTTTGATCGAAGAAGAACACATTTAACGACCAGTTCGACTCAATAGAGAATCGAACTTCAACCCCGTAGCGCAGTAATCAACGTCTTTTGCGACCAGAACGATGAAGAATAAAGACAGTACAGTAATAGCCTCGATAACACGGTAGATTGGTTCTGCGTTATAGGAAACGCGTTGTAGGAGTATTCTCGCATAACGCGATTTTATGCCCCAATATAACGCGTTATGTACAAATATTTATAATATATAGTTATATACAAATATAATACAATATAAACAATGTTTTTACAATTAAAAAAATAGGAACACAAATTTAATAAATTAATTTAATTTAATTTTATAACAACAGAATTGACACAATGTGCAAAGGTACGCAATTGATACAATGTGTAAATTAATTATGAATTGTATGTACAAATCATTTTAAATTTCACAGTACAGAAATAATATAACGTGTGGTATCCTCGCGTTATATGGGAGAATACCCGCGTTATGCGGGGGAATGAAATCGCGTAATATGAAAACGCGTAATAAAAGCACCATGTTGTAAAGGATCACTGTAAATATGCAACTTATTTTCTTGCTATAGATCACGCAAATTAACGGATGACTCACCCGGTGTTATCATGGAAACCACGAGACACAAGGTCATATGTAAAATAAATTCGTAATACAATTGAATTAATATATTTTTTTAATCTTTTAAAGTCTTACTAAAGTCTTGTCCACTTTTTTTCAATAAACTGTTTATTTTGTAATTATTTGTTTTAAAAATTTTGCTCCGTTCAAATAAGTATTACACAAATCTTAAAGCCATATGTAAGAAGAACATTTATAGTATATTCAAGTTTATAAGAAAAGCTAAGGCCAAGCAACTAGCGCAAAAGGCCTCCGAACCGTGTTGCCAAGCGAAATTTGAATTTAACTATTAAATGGAATCCCCCCTTTTTATTGAGTCATTCGCCTGGTACATACAAGTGATTTGCAGAAATCTTTAACATTTTGGCAACTTACAAAAGCCACCCCTATAGTTTTCCCCACGTGAGTCAGAACCACCCCACGTTGACTGTATATAAACAGAGGGCTTTCCCGATAATTTCTTAGTACCATTTCAGCCGGCCTGGGGGGAGGGCGAACATCGCTTCAGAAATGAACAACTTTTTACGAGACGTTCTCGATCAGAATTTTCCGATATGAAAGAGGTAACTTTTCAAACAATTATATTAGAGATTAATATTTAAATTATACACATAATTATTAGTAGACTTTTCGTAGTGTTTTTCTGAGAATTTTGATAATTTCGTAGTGTTTTTACTCAGAGGAAATATTTGATTTACTGTGTCAGAAAGTCCGGTGGTCATATTGTTTTATTATTAACAATGAAAATAATAATTTAAAGCGATTTAATTTATAATTTTATTTACAAACTTAACACAAAAAATTTACAAAGTTAGCTTTTCGTAAATAACGTCATTTATTTTTCTAATCATTACACTCAATATAAATTCATTTAAAACACGCTAAATAAGCAAATTTATTACCAAAACAAAATTAATTAAATGAATTTTAAAATATAGAACATTTACTTAGAAAAACAAAAGATGAAAATAATGTTTCATACGTGTTATATAATTCAGGCCAGATTCCGATAATGTGAACATTTACTTAGAAAAACAAAAGATGAAAATAATGTTTTATACACGTTATAATTCAGGCCAGATTCCGATAATGTTTTAATTGTGTTATAAAACATTTTCGAAGCGACCTAACACGATAACTAGACGTTTCTAGTTGCCATTTATAGCGTTTAATGCGGAACAAATGTAATTTTCCGTCTAGAATTTATTATTTTTTCATAAATCACATGCAACTTCCCTCAACTGAATGCGTTTGACTGATACTGTTATTATAAAGACTTCTATGTAGAATAAGTTTTTATTTGATCTAAAATTAAAAATTTTTTTTTTATTACTTAGATGGGTGGACGAGCTCACAGCCCACCTGGTGTTAAGTGGTTACTGGAGCCCATAGACATCCACAACGTAAATGCGCCACCCACCTTGAGATATAAGTTCTAAGGTCTCAGTATAGTTACAACGGCTGCCCCACCCTTCAAACCGAAACGCATAACTGCTTCACGGTAGAAATAGGCAGGGCGGTGGTACCCGCGCGGACTCACAAGAGGTCCAACCACCAGTAATAATATTCGTTCCATTTATTGTTTATACAATGTTTAGTCGGCTTTTATTGCCAGATATAGAAAAAAGCAGTGTTAAATAGAACGTCTTATACACTTTGCATGTGTAATAAAAGTTTTTATTATATAATTTGAATGAAACTTGATTTGAGGCTTAAGATTGAAGTTTCGTAGCCAGTACCTGCACATACAGACTACAGTATAAGTACAGACTTACAGCTGCAAGATCAATAACAAAATAATCGGAATTAATGTAAACATATTGTTACTAATTCAATTCCTGGTAACACAGAAAAAAAACACAGATTCACTAAATAAATAAAATAATCAACAACAACGATCAAAAAATAAATTAATCAACAACAATAAATTACCAATGCTTTGACACGTAAAAGTTTTGTTAAATTTAGTTTACTTCTTTAAAGAACAATAGCGGAAGTACAGCGATACGCCTGTCTTGCTGACACTTTTCACGTGTTTCCACACGAAACGACTGCGTGAGGTGAACGTTTGAATTAAAAAAAAAAAAAACGATTGACTTAACTCGTACATAAAAATAAAACTCAGGTACGTTTTGGCTTAAAAGCAGTTTGAATTTTGTGAGATTTTCACGAATTAAAAAGGCATCAGCCTTAAGGACATTGAATTGAAAATTGTCGCTGCATTATTTGTTGAGTCACTTATCGAATCGATAGCAGATATCGTTCTAATTGAAGCCGTAAACCAAATTAAGCAAAGTATGTACTAAAGAACTCTTGCACACTTAAATATTGTACATAATTCCGATTCATTTCGTTGTCTTATACCATATACGTTCGCAATTCGTCGTCTATCAATCGTCCCACCTTGACGTTTATTTCTCTATTTAGTTTCATTTTAAGGCAAAACATGGGTAACGAGGTCAGGTCAGGCGTTCGCCATAGCTTTTAGTGCCCAAGTTTCGTAAAATATCCCATTGCTGCTTTTCATTCTGCCGTACAGTTGATTTCCTTGTGATATTATTATTTTGCTTTACGTATTTCGTATGTTTTTATGACTAGTTTTTTACCACGTTGTTCTTTATGTAAGGTCGGCAATTTACGGTCGGATTAAATAAACCAATTTTAGGGTTGCCTAGTTGTGATTTTGCTTATTTCTATCTGTTAGTCTTTCAGTTTAGTCTTGTATGTGGTATTAGTCATATGTTAATATGTTTAGTAGAAGATTATAAATATTTGAAATTAGGGATGTAGACGTTACAAAAAACATAAATTACGAGTAGCATTGATAGTGTTTGGGAGCTTCGATCAACAATATGTGAGGTACGAAGAATAATTAAATAGTACCTACATAAGCCCATATTATTTTTGACTGGTGGTAGGACTTCTTGTGAGTCCGCACCGGTAGGTACCACCACCGTGCCTATTTCTGCCGTGAAGCAGTCATGCGTTTCGGTTTGAAGGGTAGGGTAGCCGTTGAGACCTTAGAACTTATATCTGAAGGTGGGTGGCGCATTTATGTTGTAGATGTCTACGGGCTCCAGTAACCACTTAGTTACTTAGTATTTAGGGTATACCCTCTGATAATACAAGGACGATTAAAAAAAAAAATGTTCAAAAACTGTTTTTTTTTTAAAGTTGAATTTAAAATGTATAGCATTAATCTGTGAATTTTTTACGACCAATAGTACAATATAAAACGTACCTAAAGGCATCGATCTACCATTGCATAATGATGCAACAAGGCGAACGGCGACAGCACACGACTTGAGGCCGGACAGTAAATAATTCACGCTATACTTGAACCTAAATATACTTACTAGTACTTTTACTAAGGTTCTCTTGTTTGCTTGGAACGTCCGCTGATTGTGAACGAGCAGGGACTCCCGGTAACCAACTGTTTCCACTTAACCCTAAATGGAGACACGCGTTGTTCGGGTGAAAACCTTGGTATTTCAAGGGGTATGAAGTCTCCCGGCATGTTGACTTTTGATTCCTTCGCTTACACTACCGTTTGTAGAAGTAATCAAGATGATATCTGTGTATTATCTTCGTATTATCACTGTATCTGTGTATTATCGTACCCTTAGTAAATCGTAGGAATGGTTCTAATCATGTCTATGATTCGCGAAAACCGAAGAAAACAGTAAAGTTCGTCTCATTTGCCTTTAACCTCTCAGACAGTTCACTACCACGGGTTGTTTTTTTTTTCTAGAGCCTCTTAAAACTGTGGTATGACAAACTATTTCAGTGTCCTCCGCCGTATTGCCGACATGTTTCTTTCTTTGCAAATGTGTAGAAGATTATTCACGGCCTGTGAAGTAGGCAGTCGCTTTTCATTCGTCTCCCACTGTTGGTAGATCTCTTCAGACATTAAAGAGAGATGAAGGACCAATGTCCAAGTGTACACAATATTAGCGGGCTACCTCTTCAGGTCACCTCTGTCTCATTGGTCTACGGAAGGTACAAGATGCATATATTACATTGGACTTAATCCAACTAGTGCTTAGTAGAGGTCTTTTCCATTTGGCTTAGGTCGCCACGATCAACTTATCGAAGTGGTCTGGCTTCCGTCTACACGTGTAATGCAATGATAACATATTATCGGAAAATTACATTACTTTATGAAGGCACTTCGTATAATTAACATTTTGTTCAAAATCAAACAGTATCTGTGGATGCAAGCTCTTAGTGCCAACTTTAAGTCGAGTGTCTTGCTACTGTAGTCGATCTTAAGCGTTTGTATTTAAGTCTCTCAGACTATAAGTACCGATGGCTTTGAGCCAAATTTTACTTGTTTGTTTGGAACATTAAACCTAAATAATGTATAAACGTAATGTTTTCTTCATTGTAAATGAGATTATATTCTGTGTTGCCGCGAGTCGTATGCTTTACGTTTCAGTCATCCCTGACCACGGAAAGTGTAGTTGTTCGAAGCATCGGAAATAATATAATGATAATAAAACGCGTTATTAAAAGTAAAAATAGTTTTAATGTATATATACCGAGGAGTGAAAGGCTATTTATCTTTGTAATTTAATTATCTTTGTAATTAAAAGTCCGTTTTATTTAGGTATTAGCATCAAAAATTCGATGTTTTTAATTGAACTTCGATTAAGTTTAATACATTTAAATAGCTAATGAAGTTTTTTTGTTATGACATTTTTCCAAATTTTTAAAACTTTGAATGGCTCTCCTGCATAGTTGAAAAAATGTCGTTTAAAGCTAATTTTATATTTCATTCGTAAGATAAATATTATAAGGTAATATAATATCATTAAAGTACTTTATAGATAATCGAAGCGAACTTAGGCCCGGATGATGTTAAATGGTAGTGGAGGCCATAGACAAATTGGATCCCTCCATACACATTAAGGACGAAGTACTGGCTTCGTTGGTATAAGATCCTTTCTGTTATACCTTTCAAATGGGAAACACAAAACAATAAAAATATTCAGCACTTTTGTATAACAGTGCTTGTTCTTTAAATAATATTAATTAACAATTCCTTGTTCTGAATATGAAAATTAATTAATTAATTAAGGATTTATTTCTGAATTTCTTGCCATTTATCTATTGAGAATAGACGTAATAGAACATAATATGATTTTGGTTGATATGGTTTTAATGATTTTTACCCATATGTACGAAATATGCAGATACATTTTAAAACGATACAATGAATATTTATGTTCATATAATTTTGTTTCTTTTCAGGATGATCACAGCTCACAACGGAGACAATCACTGGAAAGAGCAACAGAACTTCAGAACAACAGAACAGCAATCAGTTTAACTTTTTTTATAATTTTTTTAAATTTCTGTGCTGTAGTAGTAGCAGTGTTTGCGGTCGTTTATACAAGTACAAGTAAAAGAAATAGTAGAGTTCCCATGATTTCTAGGATTTAAGAGCATAAGCGGATGTAGAGGCGGCCAGCGCGAACTTGACTCGGCACGAGCACACATTAGAGTCGTGTGCTCGCGGTGACCACGCCAGCGCAGCTCACAGCCATGGGTGCCCACCGCCTCCACTCCGTCGTCTACCCTCTCCTCTCCCGTTCTGATTGCAGACACTGCACTAACGATGGGTCATTTCATTGTAGGTAGGATACATAGGGACCGTTAGGAATTTAGAGCGAAATCAACCACATATTAATCTCTGATGGCCTTGAATCGATTTTCTAAATCCAAAGAATAATTTTGCCTCCAGGTCCGACTCTGAACGGACAAAGATTGATCGAGTTCCGGCTCGGCCAGGAGGGCGACTCGAATCGAGGGGAGGGACTGGAGGTCGCCTCCGCCGAACTCATGGTGCGCGCCGAGACGGTGCCCCATGCGCGGCACCTGCGCTATACGCTGTGGGCCTTCACCGTCGGAGACAACGCGACCGTCGGCGCGCTCGCCGGCGCCACGAGGAGGGATGCGGCGCGCGCTTGGCAGCGGCTCGATGTGACCGCGGCTGCGCAGCGCTGGGCCGCCGCCGGGGCGCTGACGCCGCTGCGTCTGCTGTTGGACTGCAGCGGGTGCGGCGGCCGCGTGCGCCTGCGGCTGGGCGGCGGACAGGCGGCGCGGCCCTTGTTGCGTCTTCGCCTGATGCCGCCGCCCGCTCGTCGTCGACGGGCGCTGGACTGCGACGGGTCGGAGCATGGCCGGTGTTGTCGACAGACCTACTACGTGAGCTTCCGCGCGCTCGGGTGGGACGACTGGATCGTCGCGCCAGAGGGCTACTACGCCAACTACTGTCGTGGGGCCTGCGCGCCCTTCCTCAACTACCACTCGCAAGTGGTGGAGGCGGCGCGGCTCGAGCGCGCCGCGTGCTGTGCGCCTGTGCGCTTTTCGGCGCTGTCGCTCATCTACTTCGGCGCCGACTCGAACATCATCAAACGTGACCTGCCCGAGATGGTGGTCGAGGAGTGCGACTGCCCGTAGCGGTCGCGTCCGTAGCCCGCCGCTAGCCGCGCCGCCCCGCCGCTCTCCGCCGCCGGCTCGCCCGCCGCGGCGCGCTTCTGCCGCTCTCGAATCAGATTTACTCCGAATAATATTCTCGACTTGTGTATATTTTGTTCCTCGCGTTCGAAAAACTATATCCTAAATCGAATAAATAAATCTCAGTCTACATAGGGTCGTTCGCGTTACCGTATTGCATGTTGTGTGTCGTCCAGCCACGCCTCGGGATGACGCGTCCCGCCAGTGCCTCTAACACTTAGTTCGGTCGTGTTCTAGTTGCAGTAAACAATGGACTGTCGCGCTGTTAGTTGTCGGTGCTCGGTGTCGGTGACTGAGTGCGACATGCGACCGGAGTGCGGCGCGACAGTGCGGCGTGCGATGCGAGCTCGCGAGGCCGTGTGTAGACACCCTAAATAATTTAATCCTACGCCGTTTTCTTTCACCCCGTTTGGTGATCGCTTGTAATTATTGTAAACTGTATTATAATAATTATTATAATTATATAATAATAAATCAACTTTTTCATAATGATTACTATCTCTTTCATTACAAACCTTTATTATCTATATTTTAAAAAAAGACAATTGGATTTACTTAATATTCTCTCAGTCTCAATATTATAATCTCAAGAGGCTATTCCAAATACGCACGGTTGGTTAGGTGAACTCAGAGGTTCAAACTGGAAGAACTCGCGACACTAGCCCTAGCACGAGCATTGCTTCGCTAAATCTACCACCAGATCGGTAACGCAACCCACTGAGAAGATCTGGCGAGAAACTCAGTGGGCTGTGTCTATGGGCTAGGTTCCACGTAGAACTCTTGGAGTGTCTAAAAGAACCGAGTGCTCTGAGGAATTGCTTGAGATGATTCCATCATCTCATTTTTACCATCGCACCGGAGTAGAATTCGTTCATACTACCTTTTTTTTAACGCTGGGGAATCCATTTACGGATACCTGGTCGAGGGGGGTAACAAACCGGGCTATATCGGACTCTGGCGCCTCCAGAGAGGAAGAGGGAGAAGAGGAAGACCGGGGTCCTCCTCTTCTTCCAATTCCTGCCGGGAGACTACGCCTTGAGAAAGGCGAGCGAGGCACTGCACGGCGTCAGCCACGCAAGAGCTACCCCGCAAAACGGACTACCCACTAAACCCCATCGAGCTCCACCACTCCGACTCCACGAAACGTACAGTACCGCACAGTGCACGCCGAAGACTCGCCGTCGGGAAGATCTCGCAGGACGTCGTCTCGGGAGACACACCATGAGCGGAGCACCGCCTCACCACCGGACCGACAGCCGAGTACCGGGCACCCCCGCACCCGACAGCCCCTACGGGAGATAAACGGCAGCTTCGCGCAAGTGCTGCCTACTCCGCCTTCTTCGCTGAGGAGCCGAAGAGGGATCCCACTCCCTTTCGCGCTCCTCAGCCTCACGGAACGCCATGACCAGGTCGCAAAACCTGGTCATGGCCTCCCATAAATTCTGGTCTTCTCGTTCATACTACCTGGAGCCACAGAGTTCATGCACATTGCGTTTCCAGAGATCTTTTTTGCCACGTACCATCCGGCTATGGAATGAGCTCCCCTCCACGGTGTTTTCCGAGCGCTATGACATGTCCTTCTTCAAACGAGGCTTGTGGAGAGTATTAAGCGGTAGGCAGCGGCTTGGCTCTGCCTCTGGCATTACTAAAGTCCATGGGCGACAGTAACCACTCACATCAGGTGGGCCGTATGCTAGTCTGCCTACAAGGGCAATAAAAAAAAAAAAGTTCCTACCACTAGCATCCTACTATCACATTTCAAATTTAGACTTTTTACCTTATAGTCTAGCTCTACCTCTAATGCTCACTATTGATAATATTTTAATACTGAACTTGCTTTGAGCCAATAAGAAGGAGGATCGATGAAAATTTTCGTAAGCTGGATAACTGCGTGATACCTATAGATAGGGTTAACGTTCTGGTCGAATTCAAATCTGACGAAGAGTTCCGACGTGGAACTTTACTTATAGATACAGCCCAGATGTATGTATGAATATATAGACAAGTTTAAAAAGTATACAAGGAGAGGCTTGATAATGCATTTTATTTGAGCCTATAACTTATGAGCTATTTATGATTCTAAAGCCACGTTTGGAACTAATTAAAATAGGGTGGGAAGTTCTGTAAAAAATCAATTTAGTTATATAGTACTTAATGACGCTCAAATAAAAATAAAACTTAAAGTCTTCGTGGCCTAAAGGATAAGACGTCCGGGCATTCGTATCGAGCGATGCACCGGTGTTCTAATGAAATACGTACTCAGCAAATGTTCACGATTGACTTCCACGGTGAAGGAATAACATCGTGCAATAAAAATCAAACCTGCAAAATTATAATTTGCGTAATTACTGGTGGTAGGACCTCTTGTGAGTCCGCACGGGTAGGTACCACCGCCCCGCCTATTTCTGCCGTGAAGCAGTAATGCGTTTCGGTTTGAAGGGTGGGGTAGCCGTTGTGACTATACTGAGACCTTAGAACTATATCTCAAGGTGTGTGGCGCATTTACGTTGTAGATGTCTATGGGCTCCAGTAACCACTTAACACCAGGTGGGCTGTGAGCTCATCCACACATCTAAGCAATAAATAAAAAAACTATAATAAATTTAATCTAACAAAATATTCACCCACCTGTCATATAAATAAGAAAACATCATTTAGAGCCCTTAATCTCTATTTATATTAATATTTTAAGCAGTACGTATTGTTATAGTATACAGTATGTATGTATGTATACATACTGGTGGTAGGACCTTGTGAGTCCGCACGAGTAGGTACCACCACCCTGCCTATTTCTACCGTGAAGCAGTAATGCATTTCGGTTTGAAGAGCGGGGCAACCGTTGTAATTAGGTGGGTGGCGCATTAACGTTGTAGATGTCTATGGGCTCCAGTAACCACTTAACACCAGGAGGGCTGTGAGCTCGTCCACGCATCTAACAATAAAAAAAGTTAAAAAATACAAGTCTAAACTACTCTCTTCACTGAATGACATGTGAATAAGAAAAATCTTTTTAAAACTAAAGAGTTTTAAAGGTTTTAAGCTATAGGTTTTTCTTTACATCTATAATGATATTGGGTACTTCAAAATGAATAAACAATAAAAGGCTTAACTACGTTTTCTGTTATAAGCTTAATAAGAAAACAACATTTAAACAACTTTCAAAACTAATATAAAAAATTAAACAGTAGCTATTAATAAACTATACAAAACTAAGCTCTCTTTTTACTCGATGACAGACTTCACTCTATGACACTGAAAAAAAAAACCTTTTTACAAACTAAAGAGTTTTTAAATCATAAAGGTTTTTCTTTACGCATATAGTCGTATAAAATTTCTTAAATTTATTCCAATGACGAGTTAAAATTCGTATCAATAGTAGTTCCGGAGCGGTGTGCTGAAATAACAGTGCGTTCAGGATCGATGCGTGTCAATGTATCGTCCAGACGTTACGACGCCGGCCGCAAGTCGCCCCAGCGCTAACGTATGTAACTGTTTGCTTGTGTAACATTATACATTTTGATATTTTTTTATACGTCTATCTATATATATAAAAAATAATTGCTGTTCGTTAGTCTCGCTAAAACTCGAGAACGGCTGGACCGATTTGGCTAATTTTGGTCTTGAATTATTCGTGGAAGTCCAGAGAAGGTTTAAAATATCCATAAATATGAAAATGCTCGGAATTAAATAAAAATCACAATTTTGTTGTTCCTTTGATGTGTCCTCCGTCGGACGGATTCCTTTTGTTTGTTTTAAGTTTATTTTATACAAAAGTTTAGATCTTTTATTTATCGATTGAGGCACTACGAAGTCTGACAGGTCAGCTAGTATCTACTAAATGTTTTTCGTTTTTGTTACAAAAACTTTAACGATAAATGTGCAGACGAATTAGGAGACAAATTTAACCAGCAAGTAAAAATATTTATGAGACTGTAAAATTTTTATATCGATTTTAACAGTGTTACCGAGAATAATGTTTATAGGGAGCCACTCGTATTGCTAGTCAACCGAACGATTCTGAACTAAGCCCTTCAGGATTCATTTTCAAAGGCGTAGTAACTAAAAATTAGGTTAACAATTAATTTTATTAATTACTGGTGGTAGGACCTCTTGTGAGTCCGCACGGGTAGGTACCACCATTAATGCGTTTCGGTTTGAAGGGCGGGGCAGCCGTTGTAACTATACTTGAGACCTTAGAACTGATATATCAACGTGGGTGGCGCATTTCCGTCGTAAATGTCTATGGGCTCCAGTAACCACTTGACACCAGGTGGGCTGTAAGCTCGTCCACCCGTATAATAAAAAAAACGTAATTCGGCATTGTCAAAAATTATTTTAGAAATTTATTAGAGACGTGAGTGAAAAAAATCGTTTTTTAAAACAAACATTTCAGAAAGCTACCTATTCTTATTTCTTGGCTATATCATACGTTAGCGCGACCATCGGGCGCCCGACAGTCGGTCTGCGTTGTTGGCATACACTGCAAGTTCGGGAGATAATGTACAGACACGCAGGCGTCGCGACGCTCCAACGCTACCAACTTATAAAAGCGATGGATGATTGATTTTATCGGTTCATCAACTACAGGCAAATTTTATTGGGTAGTTGATTGAATTTGCTTCGATTTAAATGAGTACAGAGTAGTTTTTATTCCAGGTCGTGCTTAGGAAGACGACTGGTAAGAAATGAAAATAAATTGACATAATAATACTAACTAGAGGTCCCGCAGTAGTCGATATTCGACTATAATTAATTGGAATTGTAAGTTTGTACACTATTATGATTGTATTTTATACTTCTATAATCACAAATTTCGCCAAGACTACACTATAAAAAATATTAACAAAGACAAACAATATTTAATCTATTCTCAATTTGACAACAGACGTCAAGAACAAAAGTTTGATAATAAATAGTATGCATGCGTGTGTGCGTTCAATACATGGTATGTAGTGTGTGTAATGTTTTCTTTATTGATTTAATGTATCTTTTATGCATTATTTTAAGAAAATATTAGCATTGTGCACTTGTTCTCTATATTCTCTATAAGTGTGGAAAATTTCATACTCCTCCGTCCGCGCAATTTTCGTAAAAAGGGATACAAAGTTTTTGCTTCACGTATTAATATATAGATTAAATAATAATAAAAGTCGAAAATGAACGCGCGCTATGTAAAAAAATTACGAATCAGTTCATGCTTATTTTATTTGTGAAAATTCTGTATTGGATATATAAATGTACCTACTTGTGTTCGTTTTGTATGACTCATATCCATAAGACCATATCAGCGTCGCCGGGCTAGTGGGTGAGCTCGCGGGGCTCAAACCTGACGATGTTGCTAACACGAGCCCCAGCAAG